AAATCAACCCTAACTAATTCAAACTGGTTAGAGCTGTGCTCCGGGGTCATACATGGACTGTATAGCGGCTGCCAGTTGGCGCCTTCACATGCTTTCAGTTCGATCCCGTTGAGCTGCGCCACTACTGAGTACTTGCTGTGGTTATTAGCGATGACGAGTTTGTGGGACTCGGGGGCATCGATAGATATTAACAGCTCACCACAAGAGAATACAACAAAAGATGAATTAAGACCAATTAAATAATTTGTTTAGAAGTCAGTACATTTGTATGGAAATCCGAGAACAATGCCCGAACTTCTTGGTGACCGTAACACAATGCAACACCATTTGTACCACGCGATGGCTAGGGCGAAAATGGTGAATTAAATAAATTGGTGACCTGTTAGCTAGTTAAGAAAGCCTTTACTTGAAGTTACAAGATTCTTATTTGAATAAAGCTTTGAAAAATGCCAATCATACTTACACTGACGGGAATATCCTGAATGTCCAAATCCTGTAAGACATGAGAATATTAATTTACAAAATTATTTGTAAATTTTTAAAATTTAWAATTTATTTAACAATTATTCGCCAAAGGCGAAGTAAATATGGGGGAATATTTACCTCGCCCCTCGTCCTGAATTGTTTTAGTATAAATACACAGGCGATTCTTTCAAAAAAAGGTAATTAAAAAAAAAAGATAAAAGACATTTTTTCCCCCCAGTAACACCAACAAAGCGGCTGGCTGCCATTTTAGATTGTCGTTGGAGGTGATTATCGTGTGATAGTGTGAGTTTCTCGACCAATCAGCGCGCGAGATTTTCAATAACCACCTGTGTATTTTTACTAAACACAAATAGTATTATTTCCTTTGGGAATCTTCCTCGGTAAGGATGTCTGAAAGTCGAGTAAGCGGTTTGGGGCTCATCTGCTGGTTGTACCAAATGTCAATGGTATCGAAAAATTCTAAGTCTGCTACGAAAGTGTAAGCTCATTACCATCCTAAACCATTAACCAATGCCTAAGGGTTGCTCTTTTTTTTTGTATGAAGAACACATTCTCGTACCCAATGCTTTTTAGTGAAAAATCGTTTTTTTGGTGAAAAGGGTACGAGAATATGTAGAACATTTCTAATATTTGTACTAAAATGCATTTTTTTGAAAGCCAATTTCGGCCATGTTTGTTTTCTGGGACAATTTGGCGCATGCGCGTACTAGGAGCTCTATCAGTGTCTTAGCAATCTCGTACCAAGAGCTGCGTTTCTTCTGGCCTGCAGTGAAGAATGAGGGCTCTGGCATAATCCATTTTTTTGGCAAATGCGCGATTTTCAGGAAGTGAAATGCGCTCTTTTACCGGAAGTCCAAGGAATCCTGGTCCAAGAAAACCCTGAAAAAGAGGATTATGCCAGAGCTCTCGTTCTTCGCCGCAGGCCAGAGAGATTGGTCTCTTAGGTAGTCGGTGGTGTTTAAATCCACCAGGGTTCCCAAGGACCACAAATGGTATACCAAGTAATCAAAAACATCAGTGCATCATTTCTTTCTCAATCAAGACTAACCTCAGGTGTAAGGGTTGGCTTTTCGTGACTTCTACCAACAAAGTTCGAGACCATCTCTCTCTTCTTGCGCAGAATATTCATCCGGTAACGAAGAGACTGACGAATAACAAATAACAATACTTTTACCAGTGGTTTCGAGGTTAAGGAAACAAACTCTTAGGACATCTCTCACAGAAACACAGCATGGGCTACCTGTGGTTTTGTTAACCTCTTAGTGAGTGTGTAAGCGAGTGAGTGACACATTAACATATTCTGGACCCTCACAATATCCTTGTATTATCATTGCAGCMTAAAATTTAAACCTCGACTCGTCTTTAAGCTAGAAGTATTCACAAGTCTAAAACTGTGGAATGGCATTGTAGGACTGTTGTAGGAGACATGTGCACGTGCACGTTCTAACGAGACTTTATTGTAAGCTCCTGTGTGTCTACGTGAATAAATAAATTACTTACTTACTTACTCAGGTAATCTGTTATTCAAATGCGCTGGCA